CGCTGACGTTTCATCACACGTGAGCAGAGGGAAGCTCCAGCTTCTCATTTCTCAGACTGCACATGTGATACTGGTTTCTTCCCGCTCCTCACCGTCACTTCCTGAAAGATTTGTTACTGAAACATGTCACGGACTGTGGACACGCCTTTGTTCAGGGTCCAGGGTTTTGCCCTGCTCTCCGCTCGCTCTCCTGCTGACTCTTTGAATCCCATCTGTATCGGCTCACAGATGAACGTCTGATGTTGGAGGTTAAACTGCTGTAACAGTGAAGCCCGGAGAGGGTTTCCCACTTTTACTAATAACGTTTCAATCTGTATATGTTTAACTTGACACCTTGTAACAGTTTAATGGTGGAACTATTTTCTCTGTACTGTCTACATCCGCCAGCCATATAACAGCTGGAGGATGTTACAGCTCAGCTGATGGGGAAGCTTCCTGTGGTGTTGTCATGTTCTCAAGAGTCGTACAGCCACAGGGTGGAAACTAAAACTCAAAACCAGCTGTGAAGAAAATATTCTCCTCACATGATATAAAATTAACTAAACTAAAACAATTTAAAAAAATAAAATGATATATTAAAACTAGACTTTTGTTGAGTTTTTTATTAACAGAGTTATTCAGAGGAGGTTTAGTTTAGTTGAGCTTTGATGTAATTATGAGTCACGTTTTTGTCTTCATGCATTCCTAAATGCGCCCCAGACGAGTACTCTAATATTAGAGTTAGCCTGTTTTTATTAGTGGACACATATCAGCTGAATAACACAATCTGTTATTTAACACTTTTTTAACTTCGTCATGGTTTTTAACTGCTGTTATGCGTGAAACAGGCCGGAGGGTGAACTGTAACCTAACCGACTCAGAGACAAGCGCAAACAAGTTTAACTCTTCAAAGCTCACGTTACGACACAGTTATGATGTTGTTATTCTCTTCTAGCATCATTTTGATCTTCTTACATTCTCACATTTCATCATGTCTCCAGCCCGAGTGTCTTACACGACACACACTCCTGCAGTTCACTCTGTTCACTGTTACTACGGTGAAAACCCAGCAGAGCTTCAGTCTGACACTAGTTTTAAACCATCGCCGCCCACAATGAGAAACTTTAGTTTTCTATGTAATTTTATAAAATGCTCCATTTAAAGGAAACATTTACTGGATTGACAAACATTCAGTTTAACACATTTTCATTAATTATTTAAATAAATAATTTAAAAAATCTACATTTTAGTTGCATTTTTTTCTAAATGTTTGCTTCATGCTTTTTAGACGCACCTGACTCTGAGAGCTCACAGATAAACCACGTGCAGCACTTTATAATAAAGGTACACTATTAAACATTAGTGAGTATTAGCTTCATTACTGAGTCTCTCATAAATACAGACATGTTGTTACTGTTACTGCTGCTGATAATCATGATCACAGTCATAACAACACATCTGTGTTTATAAAGGTAAACTAAGGAGTAATAGTATATAGAAGATTGATAAGACATGCACTAAGCTGTATTTATACACATTTATAAAAACGTACACAGAGTACTACTTTGTAAACAAACCATTTTTAACACTTGGTTTGTGTTTTTGTGTCTCGTCTGGCCAGAATCCTGAGCCGAGATCAGTAAATAAAGCTTGTTTCCTCTTATCCACTTCTCTGGGCAGTGTCTCAGTTTCACTATGGGTCAGTGTCACTTCTTCTTTGCTTCAGCACTAATGGTCATGTCTGATAACCTGCGTGTGTTTTCAGTTTGAGTGGTGTGTGAGGTGCACTCACAGCTCTAAATAAATGTGCACTGAGACCGGGATGTGTTGCACTTTAGCTTTATTGCTTTATAATAAATGCACAATAAAGAAAAGTTAAACTATGTAAAACACACGAGTCAGCCCCACATCATTAATTAGCTTAATGAGTCTCCTTTGTGGGTACACAATAAATTCAGGTATAAAGTTTAAACT